TCCATACACCTCTCCATAGAACGGCAAAGCTGAACCTGTCATCCGCTCCACTAATAACATGGTACGTTCCCTTCTTTTCTAAGCCAGCTTACCACCGGCCTATTGGGTTGAAGCTCTTCACACTGCCACTTTCCTCTTCAACCTACACCAAACCAAAACATTGCAACAACGTACACCTTATGAGGCTCTCCGCGGCCTACCTCTCCCCCTAGAACACTTGCGTGTTTTCGGTTGTTTGTGCTATCCTAACCTATCCGCCATAGCACCACACAAATTAGCTCCACGCATGACCGCATGCGTTTTCCTCGGGTACCCCTCTAACCATCATGGATATCGCTGTCTTGACCTCACTACACATAAAATCATCATCTCTAGACATGTTGTCTTCGATGAGAACACCTTCCCTTTTGCTAAACAATCAACACCAGCCCCTACGGAAGTTGATCTGTCCTTTTTATATGATCATCCTATCATTATTCCCTCGCAAATCAACCAACCTCCAGCACCGATGCCGGCCACACCACATCCACCTGAGCCACCCATGCCTCCTACACCTGAGCGGCCCACCCCTCCGACTCCTCCAGTTACACCTCTAACTCTACCTGTAGTTTCGGCTCCTGTTGGACCTCCCCTTGCCAACAATTCTCACTCGATGTTTACCCGTGGAAAGTGTGGCCTATCTTTGCCTGTTGGTCGACTTAATCTTCTTGTTGATGTCCCTAGTCCTCTACCTAAGAGCTATCGGAGTGCTCTTAAAGATACTCACTGGCACTCTGCTATGGTGGACGAATTCAATGCTCTTCAAAACAATCAGACTTGGGATCTTGTTCCCCGTCCGCCCGGTGCCAATGTCATTTCTGGTAAATGGATATTCCGGCACAAGCTTAAGCAAGATGGGTCCTTGGATCGCTGTGAAGCACGTTGGGTCCTCCGCGGCTTCACCCAGCGTGCCGGTGTCGATTACGGTGAGACTTTTAGCCCCGTTGTCAAGCCAACAACAGTTCGAACCGTCCTCTCTTTTGCCATTGCACAAGACTGGCCGGTTCACCAACTCGACATCAACAATGCATTTCTACATGGTACACTCACTGAGACAGTCTACTATGTGCAGCCGTCGGGATTCGTCGATGTTGCCAAACCAGACCATGTGTGTCGCCTCAATAAGTCTCTCTATGGGCTTAAACAGGCGCCGCGAGCATGGTACAGCCGTTTCGCCGACCATCTTCTTTGCCTCGGCTCCGACAGTTCTCGTGCGGACCCCTCGCTCTTCATCTACAGCCGCAACAGTGAGATTGTCTACCTCCTGCTATACGTTGATGATATAGTGCTGACAGCTTCATCTGAGTGACTTCTTCAGCAAACCATTATGGCTCTCGAGCGGGAGTTCTCTCTCAAAGACCTTGGAGCCCTGCACTACTTCCTCAGTATCGCCGTCACTCGATCCTCCGATGGCATGTTCCTCTCCCAGCGACAGTACATCGTTGACATTCTCGAGCGTGCAGGCATGAGCGAGTGCAACACCTGTTCCACTCCTGTTGACACACAGTCAAAGCTGGGTGCTACTGGCACTGTTGTCGATGATCCATCCTCCTATCGAAGTCTTGTGGGTGCTCTCCAATACCTATCATTCACCAGACCAGATGTCGCCTATGCTGTGCAGCAGGTATGCTTGTACATGCACGACCCACGGGAGCCACACCTTAATGTTGTCAAATGGATTCTTAGGTATCTTTGCGGTACCATCAATCATGGACTTCAGATACATCGCTCGTCGCTAGCATTGCTCACTGCCTACACTGATGCCGACTGGGCTGGCTGCCCTGACACATGCAAGTCCACCTCCTGCTACAGCCGGCGTCTTCCTTGGTGACAATTTGGTATCTTGGTCCTCCAAACGACAACAAACTGTTTCCCGGTCAAGCGCAGAGGCTGAATACCGCGGTGTCGCCAACATCGTCGCCCAGGCATGTTGGTTACGCCAGCTTTTGTCCGAGCTCCACCGTCCTCTTCAGCGAGCTACTGTGGTCTACTGTGACAACATCTCCGCCGTCTACCTCTCGACAAACCCAGTTCAACATCAATGCACCAAGCATGTGGAAATTGATCTTCATTTTGTCCGTGAGCGGGTTGCTTTTGGAGATGTCCGTGTTCTCCATGTGCCGACGTCTTCTCAGTATGCTGACATCTTCACCAAAGGGTTACCGTCGACTGTGTTCAACGAGTTCCGCTACAGTCTGAACGTCCGCCCAGCTCCTGCTCCGACTGCGGGGGGTGTTAGACGTGTACGTGCAGGACACGTCCAGCCAGCCGAATCAAGGAGGATTCGTACCTTAGTCTGTTTCGTTTATTTCCAAATATTGTAGCCTTCTTGTACTATGTAATCCCATCACGGGAGCAAATCAATCCAAGTGCAACAATTATAATTGCCCTCAGGGGCCCCCACATGGCACGTGTCGTTCGGAAGAGAGGTTTACGCGAGGGAGAAATCATCCGGGTGATTTTAAACATTTTCCTTGTCCCATTTAGTTATTTTTCTCCATGTGCGCAGCGTGTCATAGCCACGTGCAGGTTTTGCAAGTGCTCGTGCATTGTGATTTTGAGAAGCTTCTAGATCCTTACCAGCGTGGTTTTCTTCAGGTTTTCTGTTTTTTTCGTTTTCTTTCCGGTTTTTTCCGTTTTCTTTTTTGATTTTTTCTTCTTTTCTTTTTCCAAATTCATGATTTGTTTAAATGCGCATACTTTTCTGAAATCACGATATTTTTTCCAATGCGTGAATTTTTGTTTCAAATTTCACGTTTTTTTCAAGTGATGAAAATTTTAAAATTCATGAAATTATTTCAGATTTCATGAATTTTCTTCAAATCAATGAACTTTTCTAAAATTCGTAAACTTTTTTCAAACGCATAGACATTTTTCAAATCTATGAACCATTTCAAATGCACATTTTTTTTCAAAATTCATGAATTTAGTTTGCAATACAATTTTTATATTCACAAATAATTTACAAATTCATGCTCATTTTTAATTTTTTGAATCTGCAGAAAATTTGAATTTATGAATTTAGTTAATATACAAAAACTGGAGTGCCAGTTTTTTTCGACAATGAAAAAAGAATGTCCATTTAGACGCATAAGTTACACTCAAACCTGGAGGGCCACTCTTATAACAATGATGATTTAAGTAGATCAATTTAAATAATTTCATTTTAACTTCTAATAGCAACCGAGAAGTATCACGCGGTTGCATCATCGAACTGCTGCACATGCATAATTACAGAAGAAAATCCAACTGAAAATAAATATCAAATAAGTAAGAGCCAGAGCATAAGTCAGAAAAATGATTGTTTTTTGCGTCGGTCACTTTATTCTTATCAATAAACAAACACATATGTTATTTTTTTATAAAAAAACTGTTATTCTTAGGTGTAATGAATTAAGGGCATTGGTATTACCTTATGAAAATAAACAAAATTAAAGAAAAAGACTACTAAATATACACACAAAGTGCATAGAAGTTGTACTGTTTTATAGTGTGAAAGAACAATCATATGGTACTGTTACTTGTAACAATATAATTTGCACATACATTTCATAAAACTTGCATGTCAGTGGTGTATACTTAGTGTTCAAGGAACAAAACTTTAACATTGGAGATTAATTGTCTTTTGACATGCCGAAATTGAATTTCTCTTGTTGATGGTGTTGCCTCCCAGATCTCCCTCTCACATGCGCACTTGTATGTCATTTCTCTAGAGAAAACTCTCAGTTTTAAAGTTTAGGACCCGTTCGGCAATCCACCAGCTCCTAGGATCCACGGAGCGGCTATTTGCTCACTCCAAGATTTTAAACTACAGCTCCTCGCTCCCGGAGCAGAGCCGTGGAGCGGAATGACACCGAACAGGCCCTTAGTACTACTCGTGCAAGTGTATGTGTGTGAGAGTGAATATACTAGGCTTTGGGCACCCCTAACATTCATAATATAGGACCCCTACCACTATCAGGACCAGGTGCGTATCCTTTTGGGACCAAACAGGGTCATGCCCGTCCTTTTTTCTAGACTTTCTTTAAAACCTAGCAATGTACCCGTATGTTGCAACGGATCCAAAGTAGAATAATACATATTCACAAAAATGAAAGAAACAGTCTAGTTTTAATATACATATACCACTAAAAATATCTTATGTTTCATTTAAAATATATTCTTTGGGCTGTTTTGATGAGGTATGGGAGGATTGTGGTTGGTTTCAAGATACTAAGTGTTTTTTTGTAAATTGGAGCAGAGAAGTGGTATATTGTTGCAAAAAGGCCACAACTTACATCACAGTTGTTAGATGCAGATCTAATGATCAAAAATGACGAATGACAGACACACCATCATCATCAACTGAGTCTTTTATAGGAGTAAAGATTTGGTCTGGATTTAGCCCAATAACCAAAGATGGTTCACTGAGTAAGCCATTGGCCCGCTTTTGACCCGTTTTTGATTTTGTTTCATGCTCCATCACTGAACATGACGTCCCTATCAGTCGCAGTACAGGATCCTTAGCACTCACAAAAAACCTCTAGCACTCCAATTCAAGACTCCCAGCACTCGCAGGGTAAAACCCCTAGAACTCATAATATTTTCTCCACCCGGCTTTGCTACATCAACGGGCTATTACGGGCCTTTAGGGGAGAGGCGATTAATTAGGAGAAGAAGGTTAGTTAGCCCAATTAAAAAAGGACAAGTCAGCTGGTCTGTAAAAGTCCGTCAATATAGTCAGTTTGCTCTCCACCACAGTAGTTTGGGCTAAAAGCTAGATCTACACCTAAAAATGGTGCTAAAACACGTTGACAAGAAATAAAGAGCTCCCAGCTCTTATTATTTCGATATACAGAACGCCTGGAATCGAAGAGCGGATTTTGAACAGAGCAGATAAAAGAAGTCCAACATAGTCTGTGGAAAGTGCAAAATAAACGTGGTTGGCAACGGCATGATGCACAATGAATGAATGCTCTTCATCAGTACTGCGGCAGGGTGCACTCGACGCCGGGCACCTTGCCGGCCTCGTGATCAGCGCAGTAGTCGTATATTCTGTACTTGTCCTGCACCCACCGCATCTTCCCCCGCTGTTCGCCGGTGAGCCCGCCACAGGCCCCGAACGCCGCCGCGCATGTGTAGACGCAGTCGCCGCCGTAGCACTCGCAGACGTCGAGGTCGATGCCGCGGTAGCTGGCCACGAAGGGCGCGCGGGTCCAGTCGGCCCTGACGCGGCCGCCCTGCGTGGCCCAGTCCTCGGCCGCCCAGATGCTGGAGTAGGCGTACATGGGGCGGCTCGTCGGGAAGGCCACGCCGTGGGTGCGCTCGTAGTTGCGGAACGCCCGGATGGGCGTCCCGTCGACGTACCAGACGATCGTGCAGGGCGTCCAGGAGATGGTGTAGTTGTGGTAGCCGTCGGTGGGGTCGAACCAGGGGCGGAACTGCATCTCCTTGCCGCCGACGCCGGCGGCGTAGACGTTGGTGTGCAGCGTGTATGGCTGGCCCGTCTCGTTCCCCAGGAACTCGAAGTCGATCTCGTCGTGGTCGTCTCCCACCGACGATGTCTGCAAACAATCAAACACCGGCATCGCTTAATCCTTGAAGAATGAAAAGGTTCGTCGATGCAGATATCTATGATCGATTAGGAGCAGAGCAGCTGCTTACGTAGTATGTCGTGACGGTGCCGGCGGAGTCGCCCTTGACGAGTTGGATCATGGTGGACACCGTCCCGTATATGAACTGCCTCTTGGACCGGATCATCGAGCCTGACCAACCATACATTCATTCATGCTGATAGTCAGAACTCAGAAGAGAACTCGATGAGAAATACAGAAGTTGTGAGGTTGAAGAAAGACCTGATGAGTTGCTGACGAGGGCGAGGGAGAGGCTGTTGCCGCCGTCGTAGGTCCAGCAGTTCTGGGGCTCCCACGTAGCGTCGCATTCGTCGTAAAAGTTGCCGCCAGACACGAGGCCAAGAACCAATGCAAAAGCTAGAGCTATCACTGGAACCAACGCTCCCGGCTTTCCCATCTTTGCTGGACGACGTCAAGATCGACTATCTATGTATCTATGAAATCTATGCTTTGTCTTGAGAGATTGATAGACGAGCTAGGGAGAGATATATAGTGCCTTGAGCACGTCGGAATATGATATCGACGGATGGATTGGAGGCGTGTGGAATGATGAGGAGAGGAAAGTAAAGCTGGTGTGGTGTCGCGGACACGTAGCTTCATGACTTTGCTTCGGCGACGTGCCTGACATGGCAGGCAGGGCATACTTGTGCCGGACGTCTTGAAAGGCATCGGGCCGTTGCCCCTCCCACCAGCATCATTGCTCCGCTGCCCGGCGACCGGCGTGCATCATTCTTTCTCTGCAGTCTGCACCGCAATGCAAACGAAGAAAGACAAGTCTCCTTCTTTTTTTCCGACAACTACTAATTATTATGATTTTTTTACGGGCTAATTATGATTACACGGGTGACGAACCGAAGAGGAATACTTGCTCCAGAGGATGAATCAAGTATCAAGGTCTGCCTGACTCGTCTGTAGATTACTTTCTCCAAAATCGCACAGTGACCCACATATGCGCGAGCAACTTATTTATTCCACATTTAAGTTTCACTTGAGATATAAGAGTTTATGTGAATGAATAGTTTGTTTTGGTTTTGATCTAGACGGTGCCGGCCTGGATGAGCGCAAAGCCTGGCCGAATTTGAAACAGCCTCCGGCTTGGCATGGCATGAGCATCCGCGTCGTGTGCGCTGGTCGAGCTCTACCTCAACCTCTTCGGCTGGCTTCCGGTGTGGCGCCTCCATGCTCGCCGCCATGTAGTGTTGGTGTCATCACTAGCGCCTCCTTGGTAAAGTACCCTTGTCATGATTCATGATGATGTTGATTTTGGGTTTGACGAACTCCATGAGTTGTTCAATCAATTATGTTGATGATGGCCATGACTGTGAAGCTCGCCGAAGTGTTGTCTGGACAAACTTACCGACCAAGGTCGATGAATTTTCCCGTAAATTTTGAGGACCATTTTTTTAGTTTTTTTTACTTGGAGGGCCAGACCGATCAGATGCTAATAAATAGTTTGTCAGACCGATAAATCGACCCAACCTATTA